GAAAATTTAGAACAAATAGAGTTACAAATTTTTTACTATTATAATATTTTTTTTAAAAAAAAATTATAAGTAAAATATCCCCTATTTATTTACAAGAATAGAATTGTTTTCTGTAACCGGAATGTATACTATTACTAGAGCTCAAGGCCTGTGCCTTTCATTCAATGTCCAGCGAAAAAAAAAAACTTGTTGATTGCCTAGCTAAATTGTATCAATAAAAGATTGGCATATAAAAACATTTAAAATATACTCTTATATAATAAATTGGAATATTCATTTTAGAAAGGGAGATTTTCTTTCTTTCTTTTTCTCATTTAAGAATTCCAAGTTTAATTTTTAGATTTTTGAAGACAAAATCATTTACTAAATTGTTAAACAATACTATTTCTTTTTCAATTGATAATAAATTCAACAACAAATAAGTTATCAGTAAATTATACTGATTTAGCCATATTGAATTAGTGAAATTGTAAAAATAGTCTATAAACTTTATACGCGTAATAAGAAATTAACTTTAGGAAATCAATATATTTATTTAGGGAGGTGTATTGGTTTAGGATTTTGTAGGATTTTAAAAGACTTTTTTTGAGTAAAAAAGTTCATTGGTATTCAATCAGGATTTTATGTCACTTAAAAACAATCCAGTGGTATTCAATCTGGATTTTCAAGATTTTTTAAAGAGTCCATTAAAATCCACTGGTATTCATTTGAGATTTTTTACAACTTAAAAATAATTCATTGGTATTCAAAAATATAAGGATTTTAAAGGATTGTTGTGTAAGAGGGATTTTGAAGGACATTCTAGTATTATCTATAAATACCAGATTCATAAAACAATCTCATCCAAACCCATCGGATTTTGAAGGATTGTTTGAAGTGATTTTTCAAGTGTTTCAAGAATTTTCAAGTGAGTTTTTCATCTTTTTTTTACGATGCTCCTGTCTTCTCCATTTTTTCTCTATTAATAATACTACACTATTGTTCATTGCTCATATATAATATTGTAGTACTGTTCTCATCTCATTCCCCTATTTTGTGAAACTTTGATATGTAAATAATACTGTCATTGACTTGCTCTATTTTTCTATTCGTTCTCTTTAATTATAGTACTGTTCTCATCTCATGATAGACATATTTGCTCTATTTTATTCTATGTAGTTGAATTTGTTCCTTTATATAACACAAAAAAAATGCTTGAAATTTCAACTTTTAAGTGGTAATTTTTTTTATAACACACGTCAAGAAAAGAAAAAGGTGAAAGATGAAATTGATATCATAATCTTCACAAAATCCCACAGAATCCTTTAAAATCCTGATTTAAAAGTCTTGCAAAATTCATTAAAATCCTGATTTTAAGTCTTGTAGAATCCTGCAAAATCTTAAAAGTCATGAAAATCCTGCAAAGTCTTTTAAAATCCTCAAGATTTTTTTTAACTAAAAAAGTCCTTTAAAATCTTAATCCAATACACCCCCCTTATAGTTTTGATACATTCTACAATATAATATTTATTATATTAAACAATAAATAATTATGTAATTTATTTAGGACTAATAAAACAATGAAAGTCAATAAATGAGATGATTAAATAACACAATAACAAAATATCAACAAATCAGTGAATTTAGATTTGTTCTTTAAAATAGTTCTTCATTTTGAGTATTTTAAATGAAAAAAAAATGTAGTTGATAAAAGAGATTTCATTAAGATAGTAATCAAGATTTTTTTGAAGTGATTAGTTGTCGATAGAATTTTTAGGAATCTTCTTTTATATAGTTTTTAGATTTTTCTAGCATACCATTACAAAAACAAAAACAAAATAAAAAAATATGAAGGAAGGAACTGCAGGATCCAGAAAGCCCATGAAAACTTGCCAAATATTGAATTTATCCTCAAATACCATAATAGACATATTTGATCTCCCTATATGTTAAAATAATATATAATTAATAAAAATTATATCATATAAATATAGATTAATCTTTAATTAATTGTCAGTTTTAAGATATAATAAAAATAATAATATTGTGCAAAAAAAAAAAACAAGTTAAATCAAACTTATTTGCTATATAAGTTAGATAAAGCTAGCTATTTAAAAATCCTATTTAGGAAGAAAAAGTACTAGGTTTTGCATCACTTAAGAAGTTTTTTAAACCTATCAACTCAAATTATTTTATTTTACCAATTACGAGACCAGAGTTTAAATTTATTTTATCTTAAGATAGTATTATTAAAGTAAATAAAAAATATAAATAATGGTAATAATTATATTATTATTGCATTAAAATTTTATCATGGTATTTTGATATTATATATTTTTCAATATTTTTAAAATCTTGAACATAAATATCTATTTAAAGATATACTTGTAACCTTATTTCTATATTATTTGTTTCGATAGGCCTAAAAAGTCTCACATCGCTTAGGAGTCGAAGTTAAGGGTAGTTTATAAACATCCTTCCTCTTTAACCCACCGAGACGCCTTTTAAAGAACAAAACCGTGACGGTCCAACGAGCCAAAGCGGACAATACCTCGGATGCGGTGACCCTAACGATGACAGTGGACTTACGATAGGAACATTGGCGCTAGAAAGAGGGCCCAGGCCACTCTTGCCCCTTAGCATCGACTGAGGGACTTGGCATCGACTGGGGGGCTTGTTCCGGTATGCTTAAAAAGTCTCACATCGCTTAGGAGTCGAGGTTAAGGGTAGTTTATAAACACCCTTCCTCCTTAACCCACCAAGACGCCTTTTAAAGGACAAAATCGTGATGGCCCAACGAGCTAAAACGAACAATACCTCTGATGCGGTGACCCTAACGATGACAGGGGACTTACGGTAGAAACATTGATAGTAATTGGTCAAAACAGAGGTCCACTACATATCGGGTCGAGACCAACCTCAGGCCCAAATCAACGTTATCCTCGCATAAGAGGAAAATCCTAATTCACATCAAGGTACGTGCACTATATATATGAGACGATTACACCATCAAAGACTAATTTTAGCATCAGAGTCTCTTCTGTAGGTATCACCCTCACTTCAAAGTAATAAATTTAATAATTTATAATTTTAATAAATTATAAATTTAATAAATTATACTTTTAATAAATTATAATTTTAATAATTTATAATTTTAATAATTTATAATCTATATCTACCGTAGGATAGTTCATTAACACACCAACTTAGATTTAATTAAATAAATACCTAAACATACTATTATCACATATTTAAATAAATATGTAAACATAATATTACATATAAATTTATTAAAATTATAACTTATTTTAAGTTACAACCTTTTGAAATTATGACTTATTTAAATTTTAACTAATTAAAATTCTAACTTATTAAAATTTTAAATTATTCAAATTAGAACTTATTAAAATTCTAACCTCTTCAATTATATCTTATTTTATGTGCAATTTTTTTATTTATAATAATAATATTTTATTTTAAAATTATATAGTAAATAAAAAACAAAAAATTATCCCATAAGTGCACTTGAACCGTGTAATAATGAGTAGTTAAAAATTATTTTAAAATTTTATCGCTATTTTGATTTAAATTTATTGTTAATTAAGACATTTTTTAGTGTTAAAATAATATATAATTAAATTAAATATTAGTTATAATGTTGTGAGATGTGACACTATTAATATCTTTCACATTTTTTTTTAATTTCTTCATCTCATTCTTCTCCTTACCTCTCTCTCTTTTGTTTCATTTTTTTCCTCACCATCACCTCCTTTCTCCCTTTATTTAATGAGTTTTGCTTCTTTTAAATCATTTTACATCAATTAAATCTAATTAACCTTAATTTAGTGAGTCTTAAAATTGTAAAATACATATAACTCTTAAATAAGAAGAGATAGTTTGTGAGTATTAATTTATTTCTATTGACACTCTTTATAAAAACAATGATTTATTACATTATTTTAGTTTGACATGCATTATTTTAAAAAATTGACTTTAACTAATATGTGGTGTAAATATTTTTTATTTTACTTTTCTGAAAGTTTAACAATCATTAGTTTTTATTGGGTGATTTCATACTGTCAATATTGATTTTTTGGTAGTATTAGAAAATTTAGAACAAATAGAGTTACAAATTTTTTACTATTATAATATTTTTTTTAAAAAAAAATTATAAGTAAAATATCCCCTATTTATTTACAAGAATAGAATTGTTTTCTGTAACCGAATTCCAAACGATATATTTTGTTTTTCTTTTTTATGTAAAAAATATTTTATTAATTATATAAATTTATATAATATATAATTTATAATTATAAAATTTAATATATTAATAATTTATGCTTTTATAAAGTAATAAATTTAATAATTTATAATTTTAATAAATTATAAATTTAATAAATTATACTTTTAATAAATTATAATTTTAATAATTTATAATTTTAATAATTTATAATCTATATCTACCGTAGGATAGTTCATTAACACACCAACTTAGATTTAATTAAATAAATACCTAAACATACTATTATCACATATTTAAATAAATATGTAAACATAATATTACATATAAATTTATTAAAATTATAACTTATTTTAAGTTACAACCTTTTGAAATTATGACTTATTTAAATTTTAACTAATTAAAATTCTAACTTATTAAAATTTTAAATTATTCAAATTAGAACTTATTAAAATTCTAACCTCTTCAATTATATCTTATTTTATGTGCAATTTTTTTATTTATAATAATAATATTTTATTTTAAAATTATATAGTAAATAAAAAACAAAAAATTATCCCATAAGTGCACTTGAACCGTGTAATAATGAGTAGTTAAAAAAACAAAAGTTGAATATCTTAAGATATTCAGAATTTTCATTATTAAATTTTTGAGGGAATGGCTCTCTAGAATGGTTAAAAATGTGAGAGGGTGTAAGAATATTATATTGGAGAAAAATGTAGTAAAGTTGGAGAAGAGTCATTTTGAATGCTTCTCCCTCCAACAACAGGCAAAGCCTACCTTCCTTCCTCGTACACGCTACACTTACACGTCTTTCTCTATATATCCGTGTCTGCTACAACCAAAACTACGATGCCCAAAAAGTTTCAACATATAATCACACAAACCAACCCATTTTTTTATTTGGATCTAAGAAGTAAGAACACCACCCATTTTTGCTTTTACTTCATCCAAACTCAATGGGTGCCGACGAAGACTACGATTACTTGTTCAAGTTGGTGCTCATCGGAGACTCCGGCGTTGGCAAGTCCAACCTCTTGTCCCGATTCACCCGAAACGAGTTCAGCTTGGAGTCCAAATCCACCATCGGCGTCGAATTCGCCACTCGCAGCGTCCCCGTCGATAACAAGCTTGTCAAGGCTCAAATCTGGGACACCGCCGGCCAAGAAAGGTCGCGCCTTTTTCATCAATTTTTAATCTTTCTCAATGTGCATCTCATTCTGCTCCACTTCATCTTAATGGGTTGTCTTGGTTTGGAGATTCGTCGGTTGTTCATTTTGATCTTCGTGCATGATTTGGTCACTGATTCTGATCTTGTTCAATGTGTCAGGGCGTGTTTCTGACATGATCTGTTGTTTTCTAGAAATATTCTAGGCAGCGTGAATAGATTTGGACTTGGTTGACATGTCTCTTCTCTTTAGATCCGGTGTAGTCAATTTTGCAGCATTCACATAGTCAAGGCATTTGTGATCGTTGGATGAAGATTGGATGGCTCACATTTCAAAGGGTGTTTTAGGGTTGATTTACCGAGATAAAATATGAGCTGTGTGATCTTAGTCCAACGATCCCGAGTAATTGAATGTGTGAATGAGGGTAAAATCGGATGTAGAGGATCCGGAATGGGAATGTTTTTGAAGGGAAAGGAGACAAGTGATTTGATTTCTGCAGGTTATTAACATTTGTAAATTAAGCATCTATACAGCTATGAGAAAATGGCAGAACAGAAGAAATGACTTCTCAAGTTTTGCTTGTTGATAGTCCACACCTTAGATAGAGAAATAAATAGATAGTCCAATATTACCAGGGTCCATGGTCCCAGCTAATCACTATACTATATGCATCAAGTTTTTCAATCTATGAGAAGAAATTAATAACATTTGATTACATATCATATAGAGATTAGTTAAGGAACATATAGTTCCCAAACACCTAATAATTTCTCACCTTAGAGACTTACATGAAATGAAGCGAGGCAGAGTCCTTTCTCATGTGTCATTGGCAATATAACCCAGAAGCATGATCGTTCCAATTTAATCATATACATAATTAAGTGGATTTTTATCTGGGTAGAGTGTAGTTGAATGTGACTATCATGGAGTGTGATTTATTGGGATGCTTTGGTTTATTTTCATGTGTGTCAAAATAATGGTATAGCAGACACATATAACTAGAACCTTGGTCAACACATTCTAAGAGGGAGGGATGACAGCAAAATCAAATGCAGGCTTATAAAACATAGTAGTGTATAATAAAACAACAAATAAGCCTTTTTCAATTATCATAGTAGATACTTAGTTGTTCTTCTAGATATAGATTCTTCGTTTCCTGATCGTGCGTTTGAAGAAGATTCTATTGAGAGAGTCTATTCGGATGGCGAGCAATGTTTTGTTTTCATCTACAATATGGTTATTGCTAATCATATATGCTCATAACCGAGTCATATATATGAGTCTCATTGTTTTTATTCACCACAGATATCGTGCAATTACAAGTGCATACTACCGAGGAGCCGTTGGTGCTTTGGTTGTGTACGATGTAACGCGACACGTGACATTCGAGAACGTGGAGAGATGGTTGAAGGAGCTCCGGGATCACACAGAAGCATACGTAGTTGTCATGCTGGTGGGGAACAAAGCAGACCTTGAAAACCTGCGTGCTGTGTCGAGGGAAGAAGTCACAGCATATGCCGAGAAAGAGAACACGTATTTCATGGAAACCTCTGCTCTTGAATCCACGAACGTGGACAATGCCTTCATAGAAGTGTTGACTCAGATATACAATGTTGTGAGTAGGAAGACTCTTGAGAGTGTGAATGATCCTCCTGCTGCAACGGTTCCCAAGGGGGAGAACATTGTGATTGGAACCAAAGATGATGTCTCTGCGGTTAAGAAGAGTGCATGCTGCTCCACGTAGTTTGTTTGAGAGATTGTTGAAAAGAGAGTATTGGTTATGCAGTATAAGAGGATGTTTTGTTGATTCATTGTTTTATTATTATGTTCTATTTTTTGTTGGTGATGATGTATACCATCGGCCTCAACAGCCCTTTGTTGTGGTCACAATATTACAGGTTTTAAATTCAGATCTCTGGTTTGTTCTGTCTTTTTGCAACGAGTTGCACTATACCCATAAAAAATGTCGTTAATTTTTCATTTATTAGGTGACAACAATATTATTTAGACATGATGCTTGATAAGCAAACAAAGCTACATGATAAAAAGAAGGTTTAATGTCTGTGACATGTCAGTACAATGTCAACCAACTAAAAATAGATAAGTAAAACTTTTAAGCTGTTATCTTAATAGTTAATAATTTTATTATTTATAATAATTTGTGATTAGATGAAAATATAAAATGATTTTAAACTATTTACTCTTGATATATTTGGTAGTCCTTGAGAATCTGATGAATTTTACTTTTAATTTTATTTTTATTTTTATTTTTATTTTCTTAATCTAGGTTTTTATAATTTTGGATAGATTTTTGTTGGGGTTACTAAAATTTTTCTAGTTGTTAAAGTCCAACATGGTTTGGCAGAATCCAGCCTATTAAAGGTGTAGGATTCTGGGTTTATCTAGTAAGTATCGAAGAGATTGAGATATGAAAGATGTCAAAATGGATTCAAGTATAAAGATGCAATTCAAATATCCAAGAGAGTAGATGAAATCATGCTAAGTGTTTGAATATTACAATGTTAGATTTCATTCAACTATTATCAGTAGTTATCCAAAACGCATAGATCAAGACCAATGACACAATCTTGGAAAGATGATCTTTAGCAAATGTGCACGTGTTAGGATCTTATTTTTCAACTGTTAGGACAAAGAATCCATGAATATGGAACAAATGTAGCCAATTTTCCTTAACTGAAACATTGCACTATAGTTGTATAACACCTAACACATCGACTACATAATGACTACAAGTCGAAATTTGCTAATATATCAACTTTTTGAAGTATTTTTTTTTATATTATATATATATATATATATATATATATATA